CTGGTGAGTGGTGGCATGGGCTTTTACCCTTGAATACGATGTCAAATTTGAGGTAGGTGAGGGTGTTGGTGGCCTCAGCCTTTCAAGGTCTGATTATCTCCAAAGAGAGCAGTTCAATACCATCCCTGTCCTGTTGTTCCATTGTGTGCCAACTGCAGTGGAGAGTTTTGGTTTTCTATATGCACTTGGTTTTCCTTCCTGGAGTTATTCTGCATTATAGGCCTGTTTTCAAAGTGATGTGTAATCTCAACTTCCACTGCTGCTTTTCTGAGCTGTTCAAGTAGAAGCTGTAGTGACGTTTGATCGTCCCATTGGCCTTCTCTGAAGGTGATGCTTTTCTTCCTTCTCTTGCTGTTCCCTGCTCCCCACATCCCTGCTGTCTGCTAACTGTGCTGGTGTCCACCAAGTGTTTCTGCTCAGAAGCTGTGGTGTTCTTTCCATTGATCCTTCTCAGAAAGGGACATAAAATGAATTGACCAATGGCAGCTGTTGGTTTGTTTGTTTGTTTGTTTTTGCACAACCTTTGAGCAAATATAGATTTTTTTTTCCGTTTCTTTATTACCTCCAAGTTGTTTGTACAGAAGACACAGCGCGCATCATGTTGTATTTTCTCCTTCCTTTTATTATTATAATGTGCTTTGAAATACAAAGTTGTAGGACATTACCATGTGGGAGATGCACAAACGAGAGAAGTGTTTTTCTGTATTGGACAAGGGATTGAGATGACAGCCGAGGATCTGGCCATGTCAGTTCCGTGTATCCTATGGTAGCTAATCCTTCTTGTCTCCTGTGAGTGCTGACTAAAACGGTGCAGTTTTTCTCTATGCCTTATGATGAGCTTTTGGTACCACCTGGGCTGACGGTTTCTCCCATCAGAGGTGTTCCCTTCCTCTGGTAGCTGCGTGGTGCAAGAAGTGTGCTGGTGATGGGATGTGAGATGCAGAGTGCTGATTATTTTCTGATGATCATTTTTCCTCCCATCCATGGAAAGCATATATGATGTGGGAGAGTAGCATCCCTATTTCCCCCCCTTGTGTCATGTTGGGAACCTTTAGGAGATGCAACAGCTGTGGATACTTCTGTGATGGTGCTCCTGCTCAGACACTATTTCTAAAGAGACAAGGAGAGGTGGATGTAATCCTTAAGGGCTCAGAGAACAACGTGTGCTGTCTACGATCAGGTGGTCCCAGTTCAAAAGAGAGAATATCTAATGACTGTGGTGTAGAGACTGGTAGCATTTCCACCTGAGATCGTTGAGATGTATTCAAAGAACTCAATGTTTCTGAGGAGCCTGGCTGACACTGTGTAGCTCTGCTTCAGCTCCACTGTTATTGGTGTTGTTGAGGGAAGTGAAGATCTGCTCAGCCCTGGATCATGCTGAGTGTGGGACTTAGAGTTGGATCCAGTTGGTAGAGTGGATTAAATTTCACGTTTGTGATCCTTTGAGCAGCTCGGAGTAGGGTCTGGGCATTCATTCTTGTTTTCCTTAGCAGGGAAGAGGAACTCAGAGAGATTTAGAAGAAGATGGATTGTGTCATTGGACAATAGTTGGAAAATGGTGACTGAGCTGGAGAAGGTGTTTGCAAGGTTAGGGGTTATCAGTAGAAAACCTTTAGAGATGGCCAACCACACAGAGCTGCTTGACCTGGATCCTGTGATAACCTCCAGGAATTCAGCTGTAGGATGTCACTGTGAGAAGTGATGTGAAATTGATGTGGCCACAAAAATGCTTTGCTGTATGGGTCTGAAGTGTCCATCTGCTGTCTTTGCTTGGTATCCCCTTGCCCTGTGAATATCTGGTTATCTGGGAACAGTACAGAGTATATACCATCTTTGATGGGGAATTGAGAAGTCTTCAACAGTGTGACCGTTGACAGCAAGGTCATCTGTGACATGTGATGATGTTGCAGAGTTCCCTATGCAGTTAAGTTTTGTATACCTTCACTCCCTGTTGTATTTGTGTCATTCCTGCTAGTGAAGTCATTTGCCATATCCACTTTTATTCCCACGTGTGTGAATACGGAATGTTGTTGCTCAAGCAAGGAGCTTTTCCCCATACTGGTTGTTCTGGATGACTTCATCAAACCTGCCCATGATCTTCCCTCTGCTGCTATTCTTTCCTGGGAGTGGAAGAAGTGCTGTCTGCATTGAAGATATTGCAAATCTTGTTCTTCAATGATGTGCACTGGGATCTTACATTATTCTTCTCTCCAGTTACGAAAGCATCCTAATCCATTGCTTTGGAAATATATTTGTTGGCAGTGGATGAGATGTAGTGTGTTGAGTTCTGGCTGCTGTCAGATTTCAGATTTTGAGGCAGTTGCCGATGAGTGCAGGGTCTGACTTTTCCATTCTAGTGAGCTCAGGTAATCATTGAGTGAACGTTATCAGTTCTCAGATCTCCCTCTTACTTCCCTTCTGATGGATGTGTGCCAGAGAGCACTATATCCAGTGATAGTCTGTTATTTGTTCTAAAGAAGTATCTACAAAGACTACAGGTAAGTCATTTGTGTTAAAAGATTATAAGAGTGATAGAGAGCTGCCTTTTTTTTTTTCTTTTTTGCTGTTCAGTTGTGGTCTCTTTTCATTGGGTGGACTAAATATTGCCAGGGCATTACCTGTAGGTTTGGAGTCTTCCTGTAATCTTGTGTATGCTAATGCAGGTAAGATACAAGGATGCAGGAAGAAGAGTTCATCTTTGTGTTATGACTTTACACCAGGTAAGCAGATGGCAGAAACCAAACTGATCAATGACTTCTTATGCATCTGGACTGAAGACAATGCCGTCCTCAGGAAGTCTCGTTTTCTTCAGCAGTGGGTTTCCACATGGACCAGCAATATATTAGAGCAGGAAGGAAAGAGATCAGGAGGCACAAGATTGTTCAGTGCTGAAGGACCATGGTGTACATCATGAGAAAGATGTGAGTTGCTCCCACCCTTACGCTGGCAGATGCCAGAGTATGGGGCAGGTGGTGTTGAATACAAGGGGGTTCAGAGAAGACCTGGAGAATAGGCAGGTGGTAGATTTTGTCCTGCATGTTTAGCCACTCAGCCAACTTTTTTGATTCGAGGAAGAGGAGAATGATTCCAGCATCCAGCCCTGACGATGTGTCTGCTGCAGGTATTGGTCACAGATGGTGAACACAGATACCCATCAAAGAAGAAAATCTCCTATTTCCTTTCTCACCTGAATCATCTTGCTAATATGGAGACTCCTGTGCACATCCTCGCACAGCTCCCACCTGCAGAGAAGTGCAGACTGACAGGAATACCAGCAGGTAGCTCTCACTTGCATCACAGTTTCCTCTCAGAAACCTCTCTGCCTTCAGTCATCGTACGACTGACACACAGCAAGTGCAGTCACCATTACCTGAGTGTTGGCTCGAAGGAACGTTTAAATTTACTTTGCTGTAAGAAATATACAGAAGGAAGTACTTGAGTTAAACGATAAGGTTTCCGACAGAGGTCATAGGAGAAACTGTCCCACTAACCAACCTATGGGTACAGAACATTTCACAGCACGGTCATTTCAAGTGGAAGACAACAGGAAGAGATTAATCGGTGTCTCACTGCAACTAAATAGCGATGAACGACTACTGAACGAGTACAGTGAAAATTGCTGAGAGTAAAAACGTGAAAAAACACTACATCTCAAAGAGAACTGAAGCATAAGAAACGGAAAATTGCAAAAACGAATCGAATCGGGTACGACCAGCAGAAACGCAAGAGCAGTTCCGTCCGGGAGCCACATGATGGCGCTGTGAGCTAAGGAACGCGCGATGCGATGCGATGCGATGCGATGCGAGGAAGGGAGGGGAAGACCTTCCGGTGCCCATGGCAAAGAAGGCAGAGCGAGAGCGAGCGGCGGGGAGGAGGAGGCGCGTCCCGTGAGGAAGGATTGTGTCGGCGAGCGCGGGCGGAGGGTTTGGAGCAGGCGGGTCGGGAGGTGCGCGGCGCGGAGAAGGAGCGGTGCGGCGGCGTGGAGGGCGATGGTCGGCGGTGGAGCGGCGCGGCGGAGCTGGGGGGCCGCGGTGCTGGTGCTGCAGGCGGCCTGGGCGCTGGGCGGCGGTCCGGTGCGCTACTCGGTGCCGGAGGAAGCCGAGGCCGGCACGGTGGTGGGGCGCCTGGCGCAGGACGTGGGCCTGGAGTCGGGCGAGGCGGAGGCGCGGCGCCTGCGGCTGGTGTCGCGGGGCCTGGGGGCGAGCGTGGAGGTGAGAGGGGCGAGCGGGGCGCTGGTGGTGAGCTCGCGGCTGGACCGGGAGGAGCTGTGCGGGAAGAGCGCGCCGTGCGCCCTGCGGCTGGAGGTGCTGCTGGAGCGGCCGCTGCGCGTCTTCCACGTGGAGGTGGAGGTCACCGACATCAACGACAATGCCCCGCGCTTCCCCGCCGCCTCCAAAAACATCAGCGTGTGGGAAAATGCCCCGCTGAATTCCAGGGTTCCTGTGGAGGGCGCGTCGGATGCGGATATCGGTTCGAACGCACAGCTCTCGTATACACTGAGCCCCTCTGAGCACTTCGCTTTGGATGTGAAATCTATAGACAAAAACAAAGTTTCCATTGCCCTGGTGTTAACGCATCCTCTGGACCGCGAGTCGCAGTCGGAGCACCGCTTGGTGCTGACGGCGAGTGACGGGGGCAGGCCGGCGCTGACGGGCACGGTGCAGCTGCTGATCTCGGTGCTGGATGCGAACGACAACGCGCCGCAGTTCAACCAGTCGGTGTATAAAGTGCAGCTGCCGGAAGATGCCATGCCGGGAACAGTTTTCCTACAGCTTTCAGCGACAGACAAAGACGAGGGAATTAACAGGGAAATTTACTATGCATTTAGCGAGACAATTCCTGAGAAAATGAAAGAATTATTTGTAGTCGATAGAATTTCAGGGGAAATGAGAACAGCGGGACAACTGGATTTTGAAGATGTTCAGTCGTATGACCTGGAGATCGAGGCTGGCGATAAGGGAATGCCCCCGCTGTCGGGGCACTGCAGCGTATTGTTGGAGGTGCTGGACGTGAACGACAACGCGCCCGAGGTGTGGGTGACGTCGCTGTCGGTGCCGGTGCCCGAGGACGCGTCGCTGGGGACGGTGGTGGCGCTGCTGAGCGTGTCGGACCGGGACTCGGGTCCGAACGGGCGGGTGCGGTGCGCGGTGGTGCCGGCGTCGCCGTTCGGGCTGGTGGCGACGTTCGCGGGCTCGTACTCGCTGGTGCTGCGGGAGGCGCTGGACCGGGAGCGGGTGTCGGAGTACGAGGTGGAGGTGCGGGCGGAGGACGGCGGGGCGCCGCCGCTGCGCGCCAGGCGCGGGCTGCGGGTGCCGGTGTCGGACGTGAACGACAACGCGCCGGCGTTCGCGCAGGCCGTGTACACGGTGCTGGCGCGGGAGAACAACGCGGCGGGCGCGGAGCTGGCGCGGCTGTGGGCGCGGGACCCGGACGAGGCGGGCAACGGGCGCGTGAGCTACTCGGTGTGGGAGGGCGGCGCGGGGATGGGCGCGGGCTCGGGCTCGGGCTCGGGCTCGGGCTCGGGCTCGGGGTGGCGTCCGGCGTCGAGCTACGTGTCGGTGGAGGCGGAGAGCGGGCGGCTGCGGGCGCTGCGTCCGCTGGACTACGAGGAGCTGCAGGTGCTGCAGTTCGAGGTGCGGGCGGTGGACGCGGGGGAGCCGCCGCTGTGCGGCAACGCCACGGTGCAGCTGTTCGTGGTGGACGAGAACGACAACGCGCCGGCGCTGCTGCCGCTGGCGGGCGGCGGGCCGGGGCCCTGGGCTGCGGGCGAGGCGGCGGAGCCGGCGTGGCGGGCGGCGGGCTCGGCGGGCTCGGCGGGTTCTCCGGGCTCGGCGTCGTCGTCGTGGTCGCTGTGGGCGCGGGCGGCGCTGGGTGCTCCGGCGGGGCAGGTGGTGGCGAAGATCCGCGCGGTGGACGCGGACTCGGGCTACAACGCGTGGCTGCGCTACGAGCTGCGGGAGCCGCGGGGCGAGGGCCCGTTCCGCGTGGGGCTGTACAGCGGCGAGGTGAGCACGGCGCGGGCGCTGGAGGAGGCGGACGGCCCGCGGCAGAGGCTGCTGATCGTGGTGCGGGACCACGGGGAGCCGCCGCGCTCGGCCACGGCCACGCTGAGCGTGTCGCTGGTGGAGGGCGCCAAGGCGGCGCTGGCGGCGGCGGGGGCGGGGGCGGTGTCGGCGGGGGCGGGGCCGCGGGCGGCGGCGGGCGCGGAGGGCGGCTCTGCGGCGGCGGCGGCGGCGGCGACGAACGTGTGGCTGGTGGCGGCCATCTGCGCGGTGTCGAGCGTGTTGGTGCTGGCGGCGGTGCTGTACGGGGCCGGGCGCTGGGCGCCGCGGGCGGCCGTGCCGGCGGGGCCCGGGCCGGCGACGCTGGTGTGCGCCAGCGAGGTGGGCAGCTGGTCGTACTCGCAGCGCCAGAGCCGGAGCCTGTGCGTGGCCGCGGCCGGGGACGGCGCGGGCAAGAGCGACCTGATGGTGTTCAGCCCCAACTGCCCGCCGCTGCCCGGCCCCGCGCCGAAGGAGACGCCGCACGAGCCGCCCTCTCTGCTCGACACGGTCAGTGGCAATCCCGGGCCACTCGTCCTTTCTTTCCCTCCTTCCTTCCTGCTTTCCTTCTTTCTTGCTTTTGCCTTTTTCCTCTTTGCTCTCCTTTGCTGTCATGCATTACTTGGCTGCTTTTGCTCCATGCCGGAGCTGCCAGTTGTCACTGTTGAGGACGCTGTGTCCTTCAGGCACGTTCCACCTGGCATGGCCTGGTGTCCACACTGTCCCCTACAGCTGCTGGGCCTGGTGCTGTGCTGCGAACTTCTTGCCCCCCTTCCAGCAATTTTGGAGAGCTGTTGTGCTGCTGACAGCGTTGTGTTTTTTACTTCATTGCAGAAAGTGTTGAGGGAGGGTGAGCTCTTAATTTTTCTTTGTATGGTGTGTGATTTTTTGTAATCTCTGACACTGGTAGTACAGTGGTATTGATGTCTTGTTCCCACGCAAGTTGTGGAGCAGTTGGTGTTTGTTCCAGTTCTTGTTGGAGCCATGCTTTTACTTCTAATGTCTTGTGGTTAATCTGCTTATTACGTTTATTTAACATTCATACTTTTGGTGTCATCTATGCAAGAGCTCTTCAGGTGTTGATTTTGGACTTCTTACAGAAGTTATGTATCTGTTATCAGAGCTTCTCTCTTCCAGAGTAAAATCACTGCCATAGGGCCATTACAACATCAGTTTTATATGTGATTTGCCTCTGATTGTTCTGCAGAGGCGTGCTGGTATGTAGGGTCATTTTGGTGGTGATGTCCACCAGGCTGTATTACTTGCTTGTAATGATGTTGATATTAGGTCTGGTTTCTTCTTTGATTCTCATCTACAACAGATGTTAACAGCAATGAGAATTTGGCATTCTCTCTGCCCATTCTATTGGTCTCAACATAGCTTCACCTGACAGAGTTATTCTGGCAGTAGCAAAACCAGTATGTCCTTCTTCTGTATGCATTTCATCCATGTCATTACTCTCCAGTTCCATGGATGCCCTCAATCATTTTTGCCGACCACTCTTGTGTTTGCTGTGACAGAATGATGCAGCCCTGGGGCTGACCACAGTCCTTGCTTCCCTGCTGGTCTCCTCTAAGTGTTGACTGTGATATTCCTTGTTTGTGCCTCCTTTTGTTGTTCTGATTCAAAACCACAAATTTTGATTCTTGCTGAGGAGAGTGGGAATTGTGTTGGGTACTTCTGCAACATTCTTCTCCACAGTTATCACTTCAAACCATGCTGATGATAGTGTTTTTTTTGGTTTATTTATTAATGTATTTATTATGTTATTATGTTCTATGTTGCTGTGAATTGTAGTGGTTCTAGTTTCCTTGCCAGGTGTTCCAGTAGGCCATTCTGGATGCTAGGTGTGCAGGAGTCTGTAGCTGGGGTACTTGGAGCCCCAGTCATTCTGGTGGGCACGGAGCATTCGTTGCTTGATGTTTTCTATCCTGTAATTCCATTAGTGCCTCTTTTGACTGCCACTGTCGTGACATGGACTCTACAAATGCTGTTGGTTGACGCTGTTCAGCGCTTCCAGCTGAGACTGCTAAAGGAGTGCAAGTCTGGTAAGGGTGGTCTTGTGGTGACAGCCCAGCAGGCATTGTTCTCTGATGGTTCTGGCTATCAGTTCTTGTTTCTTGTCAGAAACTCTCTCCTCCTCTTCTTTGGTTGTGCTGTAAAGGAGATGTGAAGCAAGGTGCCACTTGTGACTTGAGAATTTTCTATCTATAATCCTGTGTTCCTGGTTAGGAACTGGCAGGATCTACTCTGGCTTCTTTTGATGTTCATTCCGTGTTAGCATCAGCAGTTGTGCCTTTACAAAGAGTGTTGGATGCTTCTCTTCAAAAACGGAAACAGAAGGAGAGAAAAGAACCCAGGAAATACATGTGTTCAGTTTGAGTCATAACAACACCTTGTTTATTAACTTTAGAAATACATTTCATTACATCCATGTAATATTTCCTTATAATTTTGTGGAATCATCATAAAGAATGAATCACTGTCATCAGAGAGTCTTCCAAACACTGTGTATGTTACACTGTTCTCCTGGTTTTGTCAGGTTTGGTGCTGTCACTGATGGGAAAGGTCTGCAAAAGCCAAAGCCAAATGAGGGGTGGGAAAGACAAGTGTTGGCATTTGGTGGAGGTGAAAGTGGAAGTGGTACTGAGCGGGGTCTGTCTGTTTCCTCCTGTGAAGGGTTGGGGGAAATCCTTCTTCTTGAGGAAAAGGAAGTAATTGGGGAGACCAAGGGACATGCCATAAGACAAGAACGAGAGATGTCTGCTCGTCTTCTGTATTTATGTTTGGGGTGGGGAATGGAAATTACCATGAGGCTGTAAGAAATGGGAGCTGGAGGCCTTGATATAGTGCATGATCTTGAGAGAATATATGCTGTGGAAATGCCTAATATGTCTTTGGATGTTCTGAATTTCTCTCCTGTACTAATCATGAATCCTTCTCACTCCTCTGGGAATTATTGAACCTACCTCAACACTTCTGCTGTTCCTGTGAAATGAAGTGGGAATAGCACTGGTGAGTGGTGGCATGGGCGTTTACCCTTGAATACGATGTCAAATTTGAGGTAGGTGAGGGTGTTGGTGGCCTCAGCCTTTCAAGGTCTGATTATCTCCAAAGAGGGCAGTTCAATACCCTCCCTGTCCTGTTGTTCCATTGTGTGCCAGCTGCTGTGGGGAGTTTTGGTTTTCTATATGCACTTGGTTTTCCTTCCTGGAGTTATTCTGCATTATAGGCCTGTTTTCAAAGTGATGTGTAATCTCAACATCCACTGCTGCTTTTCTGAGCTGTTCAAGTAGAAGCTGTAGTGACGTTTGATCGTCCCGTTGGCCTTCTCTGAAGGTGATGCTTTTCTTCCTTCTCTTGCTGTTCCCTGCTCCCCACATCCCTGCTGTCTGCTAACTGTGCTGGTGTCCACCAAGTGTTTCTGCTCAGAAGCTGTGGTGTTCTTTCCATTGATCCTTCTCAGAAAGGGACATAAAATGAATTGACCAATGGCAGCTGTTGGTTTGTTTGTTTTTGCACAACCTTTGAGCAAATATATATATTTTTTTCTGTTTCTTTAGTAGCACCAAGTTGTTTGTACAGAAGACACAGCGCGCATCATGTTGTATTTTCTCCTTCCTTTTATTATTATAATGTGCTTTGAAATACAGAGTTGTAGGAAATTACCATGTGGAAGATGCACAAATGAGAGAAGTGTTTTTCTGTATTGGACAAGGGATTGAGATGACAGCCGAGGATCTGGCCATGTCAGTTCCATGTATCCTATGGTAGCTAATCCTTCTTGTCTCCTGTGAGTGCTGACTAAAACGGTGCAGTTTTTCTCTATGTTTTATGATGAGCTTTTGGTACCACCTGGGCTGACGGTTTCTCCCATCAGAGGTGTTCCCTTCCTCTGGTAGCTGCGTGGTGCAAGAAGTGTGCTGGTAATGGGATGTGAGATGCAGAGTGCTGATTATTTTCTGATGATCATTTTTCCTCCCATCCATGGAAAGCATATATGATGTGGGAGAGTAGCATCCCAAATTCCCCCCCTTGTGTCATGTTGGGAACCTTTAGGAGATGCAACAGCTGTGGATATTTCTGTGATGGTGCTCCTGCTCAGACACTATTTCTAAAGAGACAAGGAGAGGTGGATGTAATCCTTAAGGGCTCAGAGAACAACGTGTGCTGTCTACGATCAGAGTGGTCCCAGTTCAAAAGAGAGAATATCTAATGACTGTGGTGTAGAGACTGGTAGCATTTCCACCTGAGATCGTTGAGATGTATTCAAAGAACTCAATGTTTCTGAGGAGCCTGGCTGACACTGTGTAGCTCTGCTTCAGCTCCACTGTTATTGGTGTTGTTGAGGGAAGTGAAGATCTGCTCAGCCCTGGATCACGCTGAATGTGGGACTTAGAGTTGGATCCAGTTGGTAGAGTGGATTAAATTTCACGTTTGTGATCCTGTGAGCAGCTCGGAGTAGGGTCTGGGCATTCATTCTTGTTTTCCTTAGCAGGGAAGAGAGAGTCTTGTCTGAGGGACTCAGAGAGATTTAGAAGAAGATGGATTGTGTCATTGGACAATAGTTGGAAAATGCTGACTGAGCTGGAGAAGGTGTTTGCAAGGTTAGGGGTTATCAGTAGAAAACCTTTAGAGATGGCCAACCACACAGAGCTGCTTGACCTGGATCCTGTGATAACCTCCAGGAATTCAGCTGTAGGATGTCACTGTGAGAAGTGATGTGAAATTGATGTGGCCACAAAAATGCTTTGCCGTATGGGTCTGAAGTGTCCATCTGCTGTCTTTGCTTGGTATCCCCTTGCCCTGTGAATATCTGGTTATCTGGGAACAGTACAGAGTATGTACCATCTTTGATGGGGAATTGAGAAGTCTTCAACAGTGTGACCGTTGACAGCAAGGTCATCTGTGACATGTGATGATGTTGCACAGTTCCCTATGCAGTTAAGTTTTGTATACCTTCACTCCCTGTTGTATTTGTGTCATTCCTGCTTGTGAAGTCATTTGCCATATCCACTTTTATTCCCACGTGCGTGAATACAGAATGTTGTTGCTCAAGCAAGGAGCTTTTCCCCATACTGGTTGTTCTGGATGACTTCATCAAACCTGCCCATGATCTTCCCTCTGCTGCTATTCTTTCCTGGGAGTGGAAGAAGTGCTGTCTGCATTGAAGATATTGCAAATCTTGTTCTTCAATGATGTGCACTGGGATCTTACATTATTCTTCTCTCCAGTTATGAAAGCATCCTAATCCATTGCTTTGGAAATATATTTGTTGGCAGTGGATGAGATGTAGTGTGTTGAGTTCTGGCTGCTGTCAGATTTCAGATTTTGAGGCGGTTGCCCATGAGTGCAAGGTCTGACTTTTCCATTCTAGTGAGCTCAGGTAATCATTGAGTGAACGTTATCAGTTCTCAGGTCTCCCTCTTACTTCCCTTCTGATGGATGTGTGCCAGAGAGCACTATATCCAGTGATAGTCTGTTATTTGTTCTAAAGAAGTATCTACAAA